CCCTATGTTTTTCACTCTAAAAAGTTAATTCAATGACACAAAACACAATTATATAGTCTGTATATAATATTAGAATTTTACAAGTTGGGTTTCCAAAATTTATCACCCAATTTCAGAAAGTGAACAGTGAATGACTTAAAAAACACTGCATCAGTTTGCGACCAATGTCGACCAATGTCGACCTTTGATCAATATGAATTGAAGCATCTACAGAACTATTCGATTTCAAATTGTGAACAGTATTATAGTATATTTTCTACGGCTATAACACAAAATTGCTCTTATTTTACTGTGTTCGATACGTCAATGAGGTACTTTGTATGTCATCAATATTATTTCCGTATCTGATATCACAATGACTCCATTGTGTTTTTATTGGAATGTCAAATATGAAGCAATGATAGATGAGCATTACTTGACAGGAAATCAGATGGCTACAAGACAAAGAAATCGAACCGCTATTATCTATTGTAGCCGTAGAAAAATCATAGTGCATAACTTGCACGGAATTCTAAATTCCTACTCGAATGATTGCAACATTCGCCTATGGCTCATACTGCAAACTTGATGATTGTCGTAGGAAATCACTATCATTCCGTGCTCGTTAAACAATATACTAATATTCACAACTAAACCATACAAGAGAGTATTATAATTGTGGTTTTTGCAGCATACTGCCATAGGTATCTCTTGAATCACAGCTAGCATTATTGACTAGTGGTATAATCTACTATTATGCTCAGAATGTTGCGAGCACTGATGAAAATGTTGTTTACAAAATCATCGAAGTTTCTATGACGCTTTTCCCAATGAAAATAGCCATTATAATGTATATCTGAGTGATTTTTTCATAATCTTGGAAAACAAGTGAGAAGTCCAACATTGTCAATCAAAACACACTGTTGATTAACTGTTAACACTAATGTTGAGCTGCTGGATCTGTTGAATCCACTAAGCATCACTTTCACACGCTGATTGGATGGAATGTCACATTAGAAATACTATTCTTTGTAGTGTTTGAAGACAAATATTTTTAGTCTCAACTGCTTCATGTGATGGGCTACTCCGTTTCTGCTGTTCGTGCATGTTGAAACAGAAAAATGGCTAGCAAATTATTGGCGAACCGGCCGCCCAAAATAAAAGGTTGGACTTGTGATGAAAGCATGCTTCGCCGACCAAGGTTTTGGTTGTTAAACCTCCGGCTACACCGAGAAATTCTCGGAAAGACGCACACAGTACTTGTGCTCTGTGCTCTATACCACAGCCGAGCACTATTGGTGGTTTTCAAGGTCATCATCTGACGTTGCGATGATAACAATAGGGACAGCATTCCTAACTTGACTCCTGTCATAGATTTTAGAAGTTATTCTTCGAGTGAATGCGCATGCGTCCATAATGAATCACGTGATTCACTGTGACCAATCTGACAATGAGGTTTGGGAATGGTTCGAAAACCTCAGGCTCTCGTTCAAACAACAAGGTTGATCAAGGCAACATTCATTATTCTATAGAATGAAAATATGAATATCATTTCAATATACGTGTAGTAAGGACAAATCTGCGTTTACAGAATTCTTATCAGAGAGCCTATACAAGAAAAATTCACTAGCTTGTCAGTGACAATTTGTATTGAACATAGTTTTGAGAAGAGAAATAAAGGTAAATAGAAAAAATATCGAATTTTTACTTAGCTTTGGACGATTCGGGAACGAATCTGTTTCCGTTTTCAACATAAAAAATGGATTTTTTGTATCCCAAATTCGTATTTATCCTGATACTTTCCAATTCTCAGTGACAATTGGTGACGGGGGCATCAAATGAGTTACAGGATGTTTTCATTAATCAATCTTGAATTTACCATTTTCATTTTCAGATTTCAATAGTGAATACCAAGTTCTATCTATATCAACTGAACAGGAAGCAATGCTATTGTCTTCGTTCAGAAGAATGCAAGGAGGTTCCTTGATTTTTCTCTTCTGCATGGTTGTTTTCTTCTTTTCCAATGATTTTAATATTATTCCCCTCTGCCATGTTTTTATTCTCAGGTATACCGGGTATGTATGGTATCAAATTTGTCGTTATTGATGGTTGATTTTGTTATGGTGGACCTTGTTTGGTTTCAACTTGATGAATCGTCTTATCGACAAAATTCTTTGGATAGGAGTTGAGTTGGATAACATATTGAATGTGGTGGACTTCGTTATTGAAAATTTGTTGGTCAGATGATATTGATTTGGCTCTATCATGGAGTGATTTGATTATTCCTTTCTTAATACTTTTCTGATGATTAGATTGAAAGTTCAGGTATCTGTTAGTATGGGTCTTTTCACGATATAAGGCAACATGTTTTCTACCTTACGCTACCTGGCTGGATATTTGAAAGGTATTAACGCGGTCTACTACAATTTGATTTTTGGCTGTGCTATTGTTCAAGTTATTGAATCTGATCTAAATCAAAATGCGAAAGAAGTCCAAATATTACAAAAAAATCCGAAAAGATCCGAAGTTTACACAAGAATCATCAAAATATTCGAAAAATATCCCAAATATTGCAGGATCCGAAAATTATACGCCTTATCAAAAAAGTTCCGAAAATCGGACTTCAATCTGCTAATTAATAACACTGCGCAACTCCAGGCGATCGAGAAAATTGGCCGGTTTACTCCGGGTGGAATGTGCAGCGCTTGCGCACAATGGCAGGAGCGATCTGCTGCTGCCGAATACAGTGTGTTGTCGCTGGCGATATCCTTATTTAAATAGGCGCATAAAAAGCGGCAGTTTCTTCTTCTTCTCCTACTCGTCGAGGACTGGAATGTACCCTGGCGCTGCTACATTCTCACGATCCAAAGACGGTGCATTCTCAAGGCCTGTTCCTCCTCTTTCTCTCCTTTCTCGGCCGTCCTTGTCTTTTTATTTTGTTTTCTCCATGCCGGACCGCCAACTCAAAGAGAGATTCATCTCAAATTTTGTTGGAATTCTTGTAACTGAAATGACTGTATTTTTCATAATTTGAATAAGTGCTCGAAATAAGCGCTGTAGTTAGCTTGCACATTTGCATTTGCTTGCACTCCAAGTCCATTCAGTTTCCGTCATTGAATCAATATAATATGTTTGTAAAATAAAACCCATCCATACGATGTTCAACTGTTATGAAGTAGTATGATCGTATTTTGTCTAGATGCAAGCATACACATGGGCCAACATACTTTTCTTAAAAAAAAAAACATTTCAAAAACAAAACACTATTATAGATTTTTTCATGTTACAACACAATAGTGTTTATAAAATAAAATAAATATATATAAAAGTAACAACTAACTTTCACTTTTCGATAGATTGTTCCACGGGAAATATTCTTCAGAAATCTCGGTTATCATTAATTTCATCACTAGCAATATCAGTCAGACTAACTCGACATCAGGCCCAATCAGTATATCGTCTCGTTGTCAACTTAGGTCGAACAACACTTCACTAAAACTCGTCCGTCTAGGAGCGGCAAAGCTTTGATATTCTTTGCCAATGAAAGTATTGCCAAGAACTTATAACCTCCAAAAGTAAAACAGGAATTTCAAAAACTACCTCCTCTTCCTATATCCTCCCTAGGTATACGCACGATTTTCTTCGAACCTTATAGGAGTTTTGTTTCGTGCGCTCAGAGAGAAAAAAAAATGAAATTAAAACTGATATTGAATGTAAATGTGTATAAATTATAGTAACAAATAATGCACTAACTGCAGCTTGGTTGATTTTTTAGAAGATATGAGTTCTCGATTTTTGTTCATTATTTCTTGTCTTTTTTTAAATTTCAAGTGCAAACAGATTCTGACTGCTCATTTCGTATTCCAAAGGGTTGTTCAATTATTTCCTGTCATGCTGTCTCAAATACCACTCAGACGAACTCGACAGGCTCAGTTAGCACATCCTCGATCTCTATGTCAACCTCAAAATATGTCAAACAACACTTAACCATAACTCGTTCGTCTATTGAACGGCATCAGCTTTGGAATTCTTCGCCGAGAATTCCCAAGAACTCAGTTCAAAAAAAAAAAAACAATCACCCACCTGCTCTCCCTATCTGCCCTAGGTACGCACGATGTTCTTCGAACATCATAGGAATGTGCTCCAAGAGTTGAAAAAATACTTTGTAGACAATCCTACCGACTGCGCCAGTTCAGTTTGAATGATTCTACAAGAGTTCTCAAAGATAAACATACATTGAAAATGATTGAAAACATACTCTCTGAAATGTGTTCTTGTAGTAGGTATTCAATTGATATAATTTTTCGCAATGGTGGCTAATGGAACTATATTGTACTGTGTTTCTGGTAGAAAAACATGGTTGCTCACAGCGGAGAAGGGAGAAGTCATCTCCACAATATTTATCTGCAATGTTCCAAACTATATTTTGCACGTACATTTTCAAAAAAAGCTCGTTGAGTCTTCTTCTCTCTACCATAATTTCCAATAAAATGTTGAAAACCGCAAAACGCAAAAAATATTTGGGTAAATGAGGCTGCGGCTAGTCCATAAATTATCTCTTAACTTACATTGAAAATGATTGAATACCTACTCTTTGAAATATGTTCCTGTAGTAGGTATTCAATAGATATACATTTTCGCAATGGTGGCTGATGAAACCATATTGTACTGTTTCTTTGGTGGAAGAACATGGTTGCTCAAAGCGGAGAAGAGAGAAGTCATCCCCACAATATTTATCTGCAATGTTCCAAATTATATTTTGCACGTACATTTTCGAGAAGAGCTCGTTGGTCTTCTTCTCTCTACCATAATTTCCAATAAAATGTTGAAACCCGCAAAACGCAAAAAATATTTGGGTAAATGAGGCTGCGGCTAGTCCATAAATTATCTCTCTCCTCCGAAGTTTCGGTGTTGAAATTACCTATAATTTCATTTGCTATCAATACTTTTCCCGAGGTCCGCGGTGGAAAATCACACAAGGATATTCGGCCGTACCTAAAGAGTCGTTCTTTTTGTTGCAGAATTCGTGTTCTCTCGGTACCACCCAAGTATTATCGCCTGTGCGTGCTTAACATCCTCGTTGTGTGGTGTTGGATGGGTCTGCAAGACTGGCGGGACGGTGGAGGACCTGTTGCACAGATTGACAGAAATAACGAATATAGAAAAGGTAAGAGCTAATGCAACGACGAGCTGTTATTTTATGGCCATATGCCGAATTCAACTGACAGTACTGAATCTGCTGATATTTCATTCCGAAATCAAAATGAATCACGGAAAGTGAAGATTTTTGTGATTAGACATACTATTCATTCCAAATATTTCGACTCAACATTCTGCTGAAATTGATGACTATCAAAAAGGCCGTGTGGCTTCAGTGACCTATCATTATTTTAGAGGGGGGAGGAATATAACATTCATTTCCGTTGTTTTTCAAACATTTAGTCTTGTCTCATCAATAATAAATTAATACTATCATTTTCGATATCAGAAAATGTCTGATGTTATTGTAATAATAATCGCTGAGAGTGATATAGGTTATATGAAGTAGTAGAGGTAACGAAAGAAAAAGCAGCATTGGCTGAATAAATAACGAAATAAACCTGAACTGTCTCGAAATTCATTATCTGAATTATGCCATAGTACGTATTCCATGAATCTTTCAATTCTCAATCTGGTGCATCATGAAAAATTGATGGTATCAAAATGTCCAAGTATACTTCATCAATCGAGCTTGAATCGTCATAGTCAACAATCGTAGAAACTATGGAGGCTACAAGAATCTATTGCTCTTCCATGTTAAATATTAAATTTTCAAAATTTTTATCAAGCAGGTGGCTAAATATCTAGTTCAGATGAACGAGAAACTACAGACTGACAAATCTCACCAGCTGATCAACTGCTGCTGATTACTGATGAAAACCATGAAATGTTGCGAATTACAGCACCGATTTTCGATTTTATATTTTGGGACACAGATTTTTAGCAGAGTCAGTGGATCTACTGACAGTACTGACCAGTTGAATTCGGAATATATCCTCAGTGGATTTACTGACAGTACTGACCAGTTGAATTCGGAATATAGCCTGTGTGTATAAGTGCAGAGCCGGAACCAGTGTTGCCAATGTTGATAATTTATCATCAGATTTGGTAATTTATTTGACAATTTGGTGAATTCATGTCCCATAGAGCCCATATGGGAAAGAAAGAGTGAAACCACCAATTCACATTCCTAGAGTTTTTCTGCATGTCTTCAGAAACACCAGAACACAACAGTTCTGTCCAATGAACTCGCTGTAAGATGAGACTTTTAAACTTGATTCAAAATAATCAAAAAATCCAACAGAAATCGAAACAGAAAAAATATGGATGAGGTCGATGAGGAGACCGGCGATGATTTTTCTCAATAGACTACACTCTGAAAGATAGACTTATGAAATTGGGAATAATTTAATGAATAAAAATGCAAGTAACAAAAATACTTATAAACTGAAATGAAGCTTCATGAACCTTTTTATTTCGATTGGTGATTAGTATTATAACTTTGACTGAGCTTCGACTTGAGGAATATTAATTATAACCTCTTAAATACTGTCTGTAGCTTAATCGTGAAGGTGGTACATTCATTATTCCAGATTATTTGGGGTTTTATCTCCTCGTTTCTATAAAATTAAAATATGAATAGTATTTCAATATACGTGTAGTAAGGAAGAATCAGATGACTTGCCCCAAAATGTCACTGCGTTTAAAAAAAATTCCTATCAGAGTGCCTGAAAGAAAAATTCACCAGTGAATATTTGTATTGAAAAATGTAAGTATAGCAATATTTGGTTCGGAAATCAGAAGAAAAATCGTTTCAAGTGTGCATAGATCTCTCTTTACTACTTATCACCTAGCATTGTACAACTGGTACATATGCCAAACGCCACTCTGAAATGTACAGTGTCATTAATAAAGTTTGGTAACATTTGGGAAACACTTTTATTGATAATTTCTTCCGAAATTTAACTTGGACATTGAATTTTGCTTTAAAGAGGATGAAAAATTTCCTAATTGGTCGGAGTCACGTGATTTTCGCTGCATGTCAAAAGTTATTTTTTTCCTAATTAATCGCTGAAAATAGGCTCATTTTGAATTTGAAAAAAGTTTGCCAAGAAAAGTTGTAGACACTGTAAAGATTAAAGGCAAGGAGGTAATCAGTTTCAAAATGGAAAGTTTCACACATTTTGCGCCCCTAAGTCATTTGCGCCTGTGGCAAATGTCTCCTTCGCCACGCCCTGGTTCCGACTCTGTATAAGTGATAACTTTAGCAGACCAAGCAGACCTTACACGATCAAAATATTGACAATATCTCATCAATACTTGAAAATATTGACAATACTATTGACCGAGTAATGTTATTGATTTTTTGAAAAATATTGAAGAGGATCCGGATTTTCTGATTTGTAGACATCAATATACCAACGCAAAATCGGTAATTGACAAAGTGTTGTTCTTGTAGGGTCATTTGTGTCAATACTCTCTAGAATATTCAATTGAAACATCACGTCATGGAAGGTCAAGAGGAGAAAAGATGTGAACGGCGTATTTTTTGAAAAAAAGGTTGTGGAACATGAAGAATAGTATATTGTTTAACGAGCACGGAATGATAGTGATTTCCTATGAGAATGAAGTTTGTAGCATGAGCCACAGGCGAATGCTGCAATCATTCGAGTAGGAAATCAGCATTCCGTGCAAGTTATACACTATAATTTTCCTACGGCTATATATAATAGATAACAGCGGCATTTTCGATTTCTTCGTCTTCTAGCCATCTGATTTCCTGTCAAGTAATGCTCATATATTAGACAGAGCTGTCAAAGCTCGAAATTTGACATCCCATGGGCGATTTTTGAAATAATAACACAATGGAGTCAGTGTGATATCAGATACGGAATAAAATTGATGTCATACAAAGTACCTCATTGGTGTATCGAATACAGTAAAACAAGAGCAATCTTGTGTTATAGCCGTAGAAAAATATATACCTCGTGTTAGGTCCCTTATATTTTTTAAATACTTAATGCCGGTAAGTTTTCAATTGTTTCAATGATCTAACAAAATTTTGCACGAAAGCTCCAATTACTGTGCTTACTGTGGCTTCTGGCTAGTGAAAATGCTATTTTGGTATCTGCGGAAGAGAATCATGTCGGAAGTAGTTGATAGAGCTGAAAAAGTCACAGCTCAAATTTCTTATTGGTGTTATTCTGTGAATAGCTTGCTGCTTAATACTGCTAAATCTCAAATACTACAATAGATAAAAGCTATTTGGTCAATATAAACAATGGGACATTTCATCTAGTTGAGATATAGGTACCTAACGAAAATAGACAACATTAGGTAGAGTATATGGAAATATACTAGAATCATAGTCAAGCTATTGTATACAGGGTGTCCCTAAAAGGTCTGTACAAAATCTCAGCACATAGTCCTGAGGTCAAAATAAGCCGATATGAAGTAACTTACTTTAGTCCGAAATTGCTCTGTTTTCGAGATACAGGGTGGTGAAGATGAGAAATGAAAATCGACAACTACACTCCAAGAAAGTATTTTGAAAGATCCATTTTCGCAATTCTGATTCGCTGATCAAATTACACGCACGAATATAACAGCGGACTTTTTTTATTCATTATTATTTTATTATTATTTCAATTTGAATATACCAGTGCTGTATTGAACACTAAAAATCGAAATATCTTGAATCTTTCTGATTGAAAAAAATGTTCAGAAAATCATTTCCTCGACGAATAAAGTAAGAAACTACCGTGAGAAAAAAGTTATGGCCATTCTAAAGCAGAAGAAGTACATGGGTAATCGCCCTATAATGGCCGCAGTGAAAAGCTATATACCCGTTTTCATTTTTGAAGTAATACGTTCAGAAATGTTCATAAATTCTGAGAAATTAGATTTGTATTCTTCAACTTCAACCACTCTGAATTATGAACTGAGGTAAGTTGCTTTGACCTCAGGAATATTTTCTGAGATTTTGTGCAGACCTTTCAGGGACATCCTGTATATCGAAATTGCTTTTTCAGTTTTCTACGCATATTGATTGTGTTTATTTCATGATCAAAATATTTTTGAATCCAAAATGTAAAGAAAACTTTCAAGACAGAAACTCTTTTTTAGTTTTCTACGCATAGGTATTGATAGTGTTCATTTTAGTTCAGATCAAAATATTTTGAAATCCAAAATGTGAAGAGAAATTTGCAATGAAATCAGCCGACTCTGAATCCATTGAGGTAATTTTTCATTCCATACAGAAAATAATCTGTAGAATTTATTTACTACTAGCTTTCTTCAAATATTATTATCACAATCACATCCGGTCGATATGGTTATGGCCGGAACATTTGAAACCCCATCATCAATATATGTGTGATTATGCTGATATAGTCAACTAACCGACTATACATGATGTAACAGTTTCATAAAAATATAACAATTACCGAAAGACTGTTTATGATTTATTTGCTTTTTTATCTACAACTATTTGATTCGTTGGGACAATTCGATGTGATGAGAGTCTTCGATATATACAGTATGTTCCAGACTTCAGAAAGTACTACTTTTTTAGGTATAACCATGAAAAACAATATCTCTTTCAGTATTCACTACAGTAAGCTGAGCACATCAATGAATTCAAAATGTTACCATTTAGGGTTCTCAGAAATGTTTTGGATAATCGAGGTCTGAAACAATATTACTTTGGTCAGATTCAGTTATATTCATATGGAATAATGTTATGGGGAAACTCAATAGGAGTACAGGACGTATTTATTTCTCAAAAAAGGATTATTATAATATATCGATTGCAGGAGTATCATCTACATTCTCATGTCGTAGCCTTTCAAAAAACTTGAAATTTTACCACTGGTTAAACTTTTCATTCTGGAACTCTTAGTTTAGGTTCATAGGAATAGAAATTCTTTAACAAGAAACCGATCCTTTCACGAACATAATACACACTCTGTATGAAGTCATATAAAATTCTGGGATTGAGATTATATAACGTTCTTCCCGATGCCTTGGAAAATATCAACTCAGTTCATTGTTTCAAGAAAATCTTACGTAAGTTACTTTCAGAAATAATCCCATACGCAAAAGCTGAATTTTATGAATATCTTAAATGATTTCAGAAGTGAGGTTAGATCTTCCTTTTTTTAAATAGTCTTGTATAGTAACGTGTACATTGTACATGTGATGAATTTGTGTACGTTGTGTTTAGTGTACTATTTATTGTATTCAATTTTAATTAGTTGTAGCCTTTGGCCTGTCCAATAGCTATGATATTGAGCTCATTTAATGGATTCAATTTTCTATATATCTATCTCCAAATCATGAAATAGCATAGCAATGGTCAATTCAGTCCGTAGGGTTTGAATGTGTCACTTCAGTTCCTGTGTCTATGAACTGAAATATACATACTTCAGTCCCGGAAGTTCAATACAATTTATTGTGCTATCTAACACAGTGAAGAATAGTATACCAAAAATATTTCTATTTTCCGTATGATGAGTAATAAGACCATCCTGTATACCTCAACGCGAATCAGTGTGGGTTGTGGTTTGTCGATTGAAGGAAGCAGATGCAAATTCAACAGTGAATTATTGTTAGAATGAATACTATAATTTATAGAAATGTTTTATTTGAACAAATTGGAACAGGTAACAAGAAAAAAGTTTTGCTATATCAGAAAGTTTTGAGAATTCATTCTGTGATTCGATAATCAAGCCATGAAATCATTCAAGGTATTCCTAAATGTCATGTATGGCTTACTTAAGGACTGAAAGTTTGTATACAATACATATACAATTTTACTGTACCTACTTTTTCATCAGATTTATCAAAATGGCTTCTTGAAAGACATCAAAAAATTCCATTTGCAGAATAAACAACGAAAGCAATATTTTCATCAATCATTTTGTAAAACGTGTGTTGAAACCACGAACTTTTTTGTGTTGTGTAATAGACAGTGATGATAGTACAGTTGTAATTGCACATAATATAGGAAGTATATTTCCAGTGGGATGAGTATTTCTCCGTGAATTCAAATCATTCAGACATAATAAAATTTTAATGTTTCTACAGTAACCTCACTAAAATTGGCGAAAGTTGCTATTCTTGAGTTTATCTTTCATGTTTGAAACATTTATATTGTATTCTAAAAGTAATATTCGCTCGATAATTTTAAATCATGAATATTCAGTTACCTATTATTCGTGATTTGAAGTGTGACATTCGCAATATCGTAAATGAGGATTTTTTTTGCTTTAATGCGATAAAATTAAGTAACGTCAGTCAGACAGCCTTGGTTTAAGTGAAATATTCGACCTGAGAAATTTTAATTTCTTCCCTTATCGAGTATTCATAGAATTCTTCACGTAACAAAACATGAGAGACCTAATTCGTGTTGTTTTCTGAAAAATGAAGATAATATTGTGCATTATCGAATTTTTCACCTGGAAATATACGAAACTAGAGCAAGGCTGAGCGCAACTGAATTGCATGATTCTGAAATGTGGCAGTTAACATATTGAAATTGTTTATAGTTATTTCAGAAACTAGTGCACATTTATCATACATTCTTCCTTTCCATTATTTGTTGTAAAATGATATATTATGGACTCTTAATCGTCTCAGAAGCACAGCGATAATTACTGCTTATTTGTTCGAAAGCAATCATAATATATATTTCTTCTTTAGTTTTTTCTTTATACTTGTAATCGGGATACCTTATCCAGCACGAGAACAAAACTTGTATGTACAATATGTCAATGTCAAAGTTCCCCAAACGGCAAAGTTTCGGAATTTTTTGTCAATGGAAGTATTAGGCAATCCAACTAAGGTTAGAATCAATATGGCGCCCGGTTAGCACCATATATAAAATCAATTGAATGCTGTTACTAGAACAATCGAATACTTACTGTTTGTGATTTTCTTTGATAATATGACTTTTACTTCTGATATCAACAGGAATTCGCGTATAAAAATGATTTATCACACATGAATAATTTCATTGTGTGCCACTTAAAGCATAGTTTGTCAGGTCATTGGATAGCCTTATTCCCAAGAACTCATAAACTCCAAAAGTAAAAAAAATGTAACACCTACTTTCTGTCCCTATCCTCACTAGATGCGCACGATGTTCATCGATAACATTATAGGCATTTTTGTTTTGTTCGCTCCGAAAGATAAAAAAATGTTGCTGAATAGTTCTGAGGGTCAGAAATTTGCAGACACAGTGGTGTGAGGGATCAACTTCCAAAACACCATACCATTTTCAGAAGTATAAATACGTATCCGACGATTTTGAAACGATGATATACTTTTTCCCCTATAGGTACCATAAGTGAGATCATTTTCATTCCGTCTACCCAGCTCTGAAATATTGACCTCAACTCATTAAAAATCCAAATTTCATATACGTAACACAATACTGTTCTTTCCTAACTGCTCTCGATACAAAAATGAGGTAGGTACATTATACAGAGTGCACAAAAACCGGCCAGGACTGTAACTTTTGAATTATTCGAGATAGGGTTTTGAAAATTGATGAAATCAGTCACTTCCAGTTTCACTGGAAACGTCCGCAACTTCTGATTTTTCAATGGGTCACCCTGTATTGAATTCACATAATTGGTTGGGGATTATCATGACGAATTCAACGATATCGGGATCAAAACTTCTTTCTCTGTCCCACTCATTGAGCTTATGGAAACTTAGAATGCGAATATCAGCGTAATGCTTTGAAATAACTCTATTAAACCCGGTATCGATGAATTCGTTATGACAATCCCTAACCGATTATGGAATACAATACAGGTTTTTTCTATATTGTAAAATCATGTATCTATGAGATATTTGTTAATATGCGGAATACTGTAACATTTTTTTCATTTCAGGACTATGTTGAACAATGCTTGGTCCACATAGAAAAAATGATCAGGGACTCGACCGGCTCTGATCAAGAGGCCAACAGTAGCACCGCCAGCCAATGCGAAAGCACCGTCAGGCCGGGAGAATTCACGCCCCCACCCCAAGAGAAGGGGCAAGAACATGAGGCGGCACTCACCCCTATCGATGTGCACGATGTTCATTTTTGACAGACAGTGAAAAACGCCAGTGATACGTAGAGCTTCCAAAAACTTTTTAATAAATTGAGAGTGTACCTTAGAAAACTTAATAATTTTTTATATAATTTATCTGTGCTTTATGAGAATGCAGAACAAAATGGATCGGAGAAAATGAAGAAGAATAAATGAATGCAGCGACATGAAACTTCGGGGGAAGGCAATAAATTACGCTTCAAGTGAGAAACAATAGTGTTTGAAATTTTATTGACGGGACACCCTTTATTCAGCGTACAAACATTTTTCACCAATATTTTCAACAACTTTCATGTTTCACTGCAGGTAGTAGTGTAGTAGTGCTATACATCAGAGTTTGTCGGAAATTCACTAAAGGAAACAATTTTCAATTTTCAAATACTTACTGTATACAGGGTGTTGCGAAATTCGACCGACAACGTATGAGAGGTGATAGCTCTCGTGATTTCATAATCACTTAGATAGGGACATGCAGTCTTCAAGTGTTCAGTTCAGTTTCGCAATATCTCAAGAATAATTGGATATAATGCATTCAACTTCGGTATATGGTTTCATCTTTGAATGGGTCATCTTTTGACTTGGAAGCCATTCCGGAAATTTTATTCAGTGGTGCCCTACAGGGAGTTGTGGCAAATTTTCCTCCCATATTTTCTACGCCACTGATTAAATTTCGATTATCTCCAATTCCTCGAATTCATTGTTCAATTTTGTTCAGAAAATGCATCACCTTCAACTGAGCTGAAATGAACAGTTTCCGAGATATTCGACCCAAAATAAAAGTTTGCATAGTAATATATCATCATTTTCAGTAATAGAAAATTGCAAAAATATTTTTATGGTGTTGAGTGAATTAGATACTATTCAGATCTCATTCTATAGCTGAATAGAAATAGTTATTCCACGCATAAAGGAAAAACAAATTTTTTTGTAATTTTCTACTACTGAGGAAGATGAAAAATTACTATGCAAACTTATATTTTGAGTTAAATATCTCGATAACTGGTCATTTTAGCTCAGTTGAAGGTGATGCATTTTTTAAACATAATTGGACAATCAATTCGAGAAATAGGAAATAATTGAAATGTCATCAGTGGCGTAAAAAATATGGGAAGAAAAGTTATCACAACCCTCTGGAGCGCATCTCTGGATAAAATTCTCGAAATGTCTTTATGGTCAAAAAATTAACCATTGAAAGATGAAACCATATACCGAATTTGAATGCATTATATTCAATTTTCCTTGAGATATTGCGAAAAAACTATTTCAATTACGAAACTTCAACGCCCTGTATCTCGAAAACTGAACCCTTAAAAACCATATGTTCCTATCTCAGTGATTATGAAATTACGAGGGCTATCACCTGTCAAGCGTTGTCGGTCGAATTTCGCAACACCCTGTATACTTTTTCATAATATACTGAACACAGAAATGTGATTCATGGTATGTTTAACCTATGGTCTGACGAATATTCTAATTTAGTAGACCTTTTCAGTAGTCTTGTAATGATACCATTATGAACATTGAACTGATAATGTAAGAACATGGAGAAAGCCACTTCATGACAAATATTTGAATCCACGTGATTGTGGCTTCCTCATCCAAATCTGTGGAAAATAGGAAGATTACGTCAGAATTGCTATATTATGAAAATATGGGCGAAGGATCTTGCCCTGAGTTTTCTTTCGAGCCTCATATTTTCTTAAAATTGCCACAAGCAAGTATTTCATGGTATAATTTCAGTCCACCTTAGGAAAATCACGGATTTTCATACATAATCCGATATACAAGTTACTGTTTATTTCCTATGACATCTAGTTTCTGTTCAAGTTCCACCATCTCCTGTCATATTGAAATAATAATTGTCATTCAATTAGGCCATTTTATGGGTATGGGTTGTGAAAGTGAGTGTTTTCAAGATGAATTTCAATTTTCAGTTTTGGTAATTCACCCTTCAGATGATCAAGATTTGATGATGTATTTTTTTTTTCAATTTGGCCCTTTGTTGAAGATTAGAAGTAATAAACGATATGCACAACTATCCTACCTACAAATAACCTGATCTGATCTGAATTAATCTCATTTCCATTTATAGGCTGGAAATAGTGAATTCATTGATGAATATCATTTGTCAGTAGTAACATGAAAACCAATATTTTTATTCACATTCAAAATGTATGTACGCTGCTTTATTCTTGGGCTGTTGCAAAAATTAAAGCACTCATAGTCATTTGTATATATATTATATTTTATTTTGTGTTCCTGTTGCAAATATGCATGGTTATATATTGTCTTTATATTTTAATCTGAAATCGACAGTGATATATTATCTGACGTATGATTTTTTTCAGTTTTTGGATCAAAAATAAACTGATTTTTTTCGGATATTCTTGGAACACTCAACTCATTTGAATGAGGTTGAAGAAATACATTCATGAACAAGACGTGGAATTGTCATTATATGTTTGAGATTGTCTGTGTTCTAATCACAATATACCTACTTCAATCTTAATCTGTTGAGTATTCCAAGAATTTCTCAATTCTTTATTTTGTATTGCTGAGATACCTATATTTTTAGCTGAAGTATGAGCATAATTTCTAAGTCCTTGAGTGTCGATGATATATAAATCGTGTTACAGAATGCTTTGAAATTGCGCATGCATTATTACGAGCATTTATTTCGAATCTAATCACAATCTTCTCGTACAAACTTTTAGTTTCGAATCCATAATTAAAATAATAATAATAATGATAGTAAACAAACAATGCAACAATAATAATGGCGTCGAGTATTCACGATCTAATTCACCACAGCATTTAATTATATCGTTTTATTCTATTTAGTGATTAGTTTGACTTCCTATATGTGATTATTCGTATTGGCATTCTTTTGTGATTTTTTGCAATGTATATTTTTATATCATAAGTGATCAAAAGTGATTTAAAATTATCAAAAAAAAAAAATATGTGAGGCCATTTATGTACCTAACAAGAACTAACAAAATGACCATATATTCTATACAGAAATCTGCATGATTGTTTATATTGTAAATACTTTGTATATATTCGAATCATCAAACCAAAATTAGACGAGATAAGGATCGACCAATAACCTTCCAAATTCCCATATAGAAAATACATACAGTTCACTTCTAGAATGTTCTTCTAGGGATACCTATACCTACATTGTGATTCTCAACTCTTCTTTTCCTTCTTGCTAAGTACCTATTGAACCAGCAAAGCCGAATTTCAAAAGAAGAAAACAAATCAGGAAGTATGCCTACTGCACTGTTTTGGTTCAATAGTGGTTTTGTAATTTAGCTTTTTGATGCATCTTCCATAGTTTCGAATTTCCCTTGGAATGAATGGAATAATGAGTTCAGACTCACTATGTATGAATTATCTCACAAGAAACAGTTTGGTTCACAAGACAATCCACCTAGTGAGCTTCCTCGAAATTGATATGCAATACAAAATTTAGTCAACATCTGTTGTTCGATCTTTGATCATTGATTATCACACTTCTTCATAATGAAACATTGGTGAATTTCAAACTCTCAATTTTTCAATGATAAATATATTTATTTCTTGTATGAAAAATATCTGAAGCTTGTATATACTTCAGATGTGGAAAATAATCATTATTGGTTCTATCGCAAATGAAAATCAAACTATAATTATCATCAATCATTCAATATCTTAGCCAGGAATGATTTGTATTTCATTCTATTCATTACCATTTAAATCTGAACTAATAATTATCCTTCAAATATGTTTTTAGAAATTTTATTTCAGAGCATGTATTTCTAATTGAGGGATCATTATTATCACCGATGATATCAAATTATATCTTGATATTGAATCGACAAGATATGGTTTCATTATCAAGAAATATGATATAAAAATAATTGAAAGGTATTGGTACCCTCTTCCTACATTTGCTCTATTCTTTCCTTGTCTAATACCACTGCCATTTTTTCCATATTATCCATTCGGCATGCTCATTATTACAGTAGTTCAATTCCTATATACCTCAACCTCAGTTCCATTGACATCAATAGATTTATTTTATTGTTCAATTTATGTATAATCATATTATATATGCTTTTATTTGTAAATAATTTATATCCTCTAAGAGAATTTTTACAATACAGAAAATGTTTTCTATATTTTGTTTGATTTATGCCTGAGTGGATAAGGTGATTTATCCAACTAATCCCGTAAATTGTCGATTTGGCAGCGGCTTCACAGGGGTCCTCAGAATGTGATGTATTTTCCACATAGAAAATAATAGATTTTTATACACCAAGGTAGTGTATTCTTCACTACAAGGTGTACTTATATCATATGTTTTTCACCACTAGCAATATATTTCGAACGCATCATTTGTTCTGTGAAACTGAAATATGGACCTCTTGTCACTATGAAAGTACTCCTTTTCAATTCTAATCGAAATCTAGTGAAAACTTCCTGTGAGATAATCGAGGAGATGAAAATTGATTCAATATACATTTTTCAAAACAAAGTGGCACACAAAAGACTGGATTTTAGTTTTTTCAGGCTCCTGGTGAAAAAAAAATAACATCTCACCCATATCTCACCAGATATATTGATTATTATAAATTCCCATTAATCATTCCAGAATTACGTCATTTGACAGGTTGCTGAAGGGCAAACAATGTACATTTTCAAGATTTGTCATATAAAACCAGAACTAGTGGTACCTATCGTTTTCCTTGGAATCCGAGTTGGAAACAGAAACAATTCCATAATTTTGTTTGGTGAAACTGTTATCATATTCGCCAGGGCTATGCTCATCAGAGGTATCCTAACAAATAGTGTATGTGCCCCTCAAGAAACCATGTCAAAATCACGTGTTGTAGAATGGTTAATAGTATTTAAAAAAAAATGACTATATAGGTAATGAAATATGGAAACAACCCACTTAGGTACGAAAACAATTATAATAGATTTGTTAATTTGGCTAGTTATTCTGTTTTCTGTTTATAGAATAAACAACTATGGCATCACAAAAAATATTCCTTCTAAGGAATAAGTATCAGAGGAAAAACATATTATTAATTGACTATTGTTGAGCACAACAATGTTTTGATTAGATGTGTAAATTTACTATACCTTTTCAACTTCAATTTCGGAATCGGTGAGTTATATTTCGGAAAAAGTAATCTCGATTTCAGAATTGGTTAGTTCGATTTCAGAAATGGTAAACTCAATTTCAGAATCGGTGAGATGAATTTCAGAAAAAGTCCATTCAATTTCAGAAATGGTAAGTTGTATTTCAGAATTATTATTGGTAGGTTCAATTTCAGAAGATGAATTCTTTTATATGTTTGAAATGTTTTTAATTGTAAAAGAGAAGATCGTTTACAGCGGATGGAACGGTGTTTGAGAGCCC